TTTTGAAATTTTTCTAAAAGATTAACTGAGCTTGAAATGAATTGCATTATGTTCCCGAAGAGAAAGCCGGGTAAAACATGGTGAAATTAGCGTCCTAACGGTCTCAAGAAACGCTATTTAGAAGGGAGTTTTCTTGCTTTTAAAACTTGTTTGTTTTCAGGATATTGAACTTAATAGTTTGTATTGTATCTAATCTTAATTTATAGGTCTGAAATTGTTTTCTAAACCAAAAAAGTGAAGTCTTGAAAAAATACTTTTCTTGTATAGCTCCATACGAGCTGTCGAATGAAACTGGAATTAAAGTTTCAAAACTTTTAGCTTCTTGTAAAGTAAAATTTTAACTTTTTTAATTTCGCGTATTTTCTGTAAGATTTTAAAAAATATAAAAGATATTTTGACAAATGTAAATAGAAAGAAAATACTTTCAATAGTAACGTGCGTGGTCTAGTGGTTAAAAGACATTTACTCGTGAAACGAGCGGTCACAGGTTCAGTTGCTGTCGTTCTTTTCCTCATTTTTTGACTAGGGAGTTTTTAATTTAATTCATTACTATTTTTAACACTTTTTAGCATTAAAAAGTAGCATAAGAAACGAAAGCAAAGAACGTCGTCTCTCATAAGCAAATGAGTTCTCTCTTTAGCTATTTCGAACTATCCTAATTACTTATTAGGAATTCTTCATCTTTAAATAAATATCGTTTAAACCAACGTATTAAATGTTAGTTTTTTCCTAATCCGTTGACTGTTCTAAAATGGCAGGGTGATAGACAGTTAACGGTCGATGCGAATTTTAGTTTGAGGGCATACAGTTAAATGCTTGTTTTTAGTCCATGATTCGTGGTGAAATAATGGACTGAAAGCGGTGACCGTCAACGGTCAGCTTTTTAATAGATTTTAGCCGATTAAACGTCAATTTTTTAGACATATAGTTAACAGGCTATGTAATTATTAATCTAATTAGAAAAGCTATGTAATTCTCAGCATAGGTGCACAGCGCTATTAGAGGAAGTGAGAGGAAAAGGTAGATCCTTCTTAGATTCACTTAGGCATATCGTTAAACCCACTTTTCTTAATTGCTTATGTGGAGAGCGATGATTATATGAGAAAAGTCTTCTTTCTCACATAATTATCAAAACTAAGAACTCCCTCCAGGCAGGTAGTTGTTGTTGTGTACTTAATTCAAAGTTAAAAATCTCAGAATTCATTACAACATGTTCTCGAAGAAAAGTCCGAGTAAAACATGGTGTAACTAGGACTGAGAAAAGAATCCTAAACAACTGCTTCTCGCTCGAGCGTTTATTTATGCGCCAATTCAGGCGTTGTAATGAATTAGAATTTAAAGAAAATTAACTAATGAATCATTATCTTTCGTTGTTGGCGCCAGCGTTTTTAATGATTGGTGGGTAAGCTTTGTTCTCGATGAATCAGAGTGGGTACGAACAAAGGATTTCCTTTGTTCTCGATGACTCAAAGTGGGTTCTATTAAAAACACTGATTGGCGCCGTTCCCACGAGTACTCGCGCGTTTATTGAAAGCGCGTAGGAAAGCGCTTTTTTGGGCTTATTCTGCTCGCTGAAGGTTGCTGACTTCACCTTTGATATTTGCAGCTGAAGAAATAGTCTAATATCGCTAAATTTTGCTATATATGATACGCTAGGTATTACGACGTGTAACCATTGGTGCTTAATGGCGCCAATGAGAGCGTTGGTATAGGCCATAAGAATGAATTTCGCTATAAAGAGTCGAAAAAGTTCAGACAAAAAAGGGTTTAACCAGACTTTCACGATCACCAGAGCATATAGCCTAGACTATATGGGTAAAAGGAAATCAAATAAAAACACGCGTCTCAGAAGTTGTTTTTTTTCATATGAAGAAACGTATACCCAGGTCGAAGAATCGTACTATGATCGCATCTGAATCAGACAAAATCGTACCAAATCGTATGAAAATCATATATGAATCGTGGTATCTGATTTGTCTTCTTGATCGTATAATACGATCGTACAAGGTCATATACGATCATACAACTTCGTATGAAATCGTACAGTACGAGCCAGACGGCAAATCAGGTACCATGATTCGTATGTAGATCGTACATAATCGTATATGATTTCGTACGATTCGTATACGATCTTGTATGATCAGATAGTACGATTCAATCACTTGGGTAGAGACTCGAGACGCCTCACTTTGCAGAGAAACCTTTGCTTTACAATTTTAGACATTTTACAGCACTGTACGTACTGTCCTGAACAAAAACATAAACACAGCAAAACGTCAAAAGTTCGTCATGGAATTTCACTCCGGGTAGTAGAGTTATCTGGCCGTGCCGAAAAGCTACTAGACTTCATTTATTCACGATGTCCTACCTCAACTCTAAAGCATAACGCACATCTAACTATTTTCTATTAAACTGTGCTGCTAAGTAAAATTTACGAACGGTGAATCCATATTGAAACAGAGTTATTAACAGGATAAAGTTCTAAATTGATTTCTTTTTATTTCTGTAGCTTTGATGCTGACAATGAACATTTAGGGCTTTTCTTGTAAATTCTATAACTTTGCAAAGAAAGGTCATGTAGGGCTGGAAGATGTCACATTTTAATCAGAAATTTGCAGGTTACAATCATCAAAAGCAGGCATCACAAGAAGCTTTTGGTTATTTTGAAAAACTGGTTTTCTCAGCACAGAAAAGCATGATCGAAAAAACGAGCCGTTGTTTTGTTGCGCGCGTCACTACGGTTCGAATGTGCTATGAATGACGCAGCCTGTCAAATGAGTACGTCATAGGTGTATGATCTCCAGACCACATGTCTAGATGCAGTTTTCGACAAAAATTCCGAATATTACCTTTCTGAGACTTGAAAGTGAAATAGTGCGAGGAAAAACGCATTTTTTTGAACAGTCAAAGTTTCGAGGTTTAAGAGCACTTCTTAGTATTTTGCGTTTTTCTGCCCTAAGACTTGGCCTAAACTAATAAGTAAGATGATATTCGTGATCACCGACTTCTGCTGCATCTGGCGATGTGTGTCTCAACATAAAACTCAACTTTGGGAAAGTTTGAATTAGCGCTATCTTATTAACTACTATCCATATATTCTGTGACGCTGAGTAGTTGCCACAAAAATTTGAGCGAACAATGGTATGGTAGCGATTTATAATGGCAAGACTCTACCACATACAATTCGTAGTAGCAAGAGAATTCAGATAATATCCTCGTCTATCCACAGATCGTACGGCAATATATCAGCATCGTCTGTAACATTACCGATTATTATTCACATGGATCGGCCATGAAAAAGTAACATATATAGGATTACACTTTTCACAACTCTAGCCTAAAATGTATGCTATACTTAAACCCGATTGTTGCCTACCATTCGAAAACGATGCAATGAAGAATTAAATATGAGAGTGAACAAGGACTTTTACGACGAAAGTTAAAAAAGCATAGTTTTAGGGACTAAACTTTCGCTAAACAAACGTAGAGGAAGAAATATGTCTCAGCTGTGAATCGAACGCAAGACCAATGCACTACCAGTGAGCTATCAAGTCAGTCTTCGACATGTTTCTTCTGACTGAATGATGTTAATTATTTCCGCTTATGAGGTACTACTACAATATATGTATTCTCACTTCTCTTTAGAAAACTTCGCGTCGGATTGCGAATCGTGCATCGCTGTCTCAGGGTTTCAGCGCAAAATATTTTTTTGTCAACTAACGAGCTCAATTTTTACGTCAAAAACTACCTTCAAAAAAGACTTCCGAACGTAGATCGGACTCACTTAGGCCAGTCTCTATTCTTAAACGATATGTTCTTCTGGGAAAATTTCGTAAATAATGGAAAAAAGTCACTAAAGATCCGTCACTTCTTTCAACAAAATCGGGTAAAAAAGATGAAAAAAAGACATGCATCTTTTCTGTTAGACTGATTGACGTTCGTTGATGAACACTAGAAGACAATACAAAATATATAGTCTGGATTATTTTTATTTTTATTTTGTTGTCTTCTTTCTTAGACAGGTACTAACTATTTTGGCATGTCTGAAATCTGTGATATCTCTATGCATACCTTTCTTTTTTTGTTGATGTAATTTTGTGTTAGAGTCTTCCGTGTTTCCGTATTAACCTTACTCCCTTCCAGTTAGATTATTTATAACTAAATGGAGTTTTAAATCTTGTTGTAATACTGTTATGGTTTGTTTATTTTTATTGTATCCAGATTGATGAATATGTCCATCTTTTTTATACCCTTTTCTGCAAGCGCTTCGTAAATGACTCAATCCAAAAAAAAAAATATGTGTATTCTGATGGTATCTCATCCAAACGGAGATACACTTCGATAACTAAGGTCATTGATTCCCAAGAAACATACCGAAGACTGACTCGATAGTGCACTAGTGAGCATAGATTTTGTTAACCGATGTCCTGAATTCGATTCTCAGTTGAGACATGTTTTTACCGAAACGAAGCATGCCAAAGAGATCGATAATGAACAGTGTATTATATATAGAACAATCTATTCTACTATACCGCTCAAAATACTCAACTGCACCACTGTCTCATCACTACTTTAGCCAATAATACACCACCATCAGTATCAACTCTCCAATACACAGTTTGGCGCCAACACATTTCCACCACTATAGATTTGGCGCAGACACATGTATTTTCCGGTGCATAAATACCTGTTACTGTAGATGATGGAATCGTCCAGTTTAATCCAGTGGTATCACTACTGGTGCTTTGCTGGAGTGCTTTAACAAAATAAAAGACGCTAAAGCGGGGCCTTTTAAACTTTCCTTCCACTCACATGTTACTGCCACCGAAATCACAGCTGTCGCGGTCGAAGATGTTGCAGGCACGCCTGTCGCAGTTGCAGATGTCGCAGCTACGGCTGGCATAGTCGAAGTTGTACCGAACGCAGAACTCGAAGCCACCGAGGACGCAAGCACAGATGTTGCAGCGACGGATATCGTAGTTGTGGTTGTCGCAGGCCCAGAACTCGCAGACACAGAGTTCGCAGGCCCAGAGGTCGTCGTGGCGGAAGCCGCATCCACGCGTCCCGCACCCACAGCAGTGGTACTCGCAGTAGCGGCGATCGAGGCACCAGAAGTCATAGGCGCGGATTCGGAAGTAATACCTGTTGAAGGGGCAATAGTAGCAGGGACATTTCCACTGCTTGACGGCCCTGACAATACAGTTAATAGAACTCAATATACACAAGTACGCTTATTACGATATTTCAGTACGCTCGAAACTACAAGCACAACCGTAACTCCAGCAGATTTTAACCGAACAGAAAAACAGCATAGCCATAAACTTTTGGAAGTTTACAATTCTGGGCTGACAGATGTGCACAAATA